TTTGACAAAAGCTAAGAAATTTACTATGAATACCCTTTTTAATGTAAGAAAAGGTCATATATCAAAACAAAATTCAGAAATTTGGGGTCGTACATGTACCATAGTTTCTTTTCTTTCTTCTACAGTTACAATGTAAGAAGTCTTAAAAAAGATTTGCTACTAAAAAACTCAGTGCAAAGAAGCCACAAAGAAGATATAAAACGACTTGCATTATTTGCTCATCGACTTCTCCATTCGCCTTTTAGCAGAGAAACAGAAGCTGTGTGTCACACAAACCATAAATCATCATTCTCTTTCGGATTTCTTATGACAACATCTCAACACTCTTCTTCTCAACGTCTTCTTCACCCGCAGCTTCTGTTGCTTCTTCTTCACCTTCCTCAGCCACGTAAACAACTTCTTCGCCTTCCTCATACGTGTATTCTCCGTTTTCTTCATATCCTTCTTCGTAATAGTACTCTCCGTTTAGCTCATCGCCTTCGTAAGCTTGTTCCTCTCCATACACTTGCTCTCCTTCTTCCCCAATCACTTCTTCCTCCATAATCGTTTCTTCTTCTGGTTGGTCAGCTTTGTGGGTTGGTTTGGGTTCAGAGACAACCTCGGTTTTCTCTTCTACTGTGAGTTTGATCTCATCTCCAGCTTCATCCTTTGATATTGCTTCTTGAGGTGTCTCGTCCTTGTTGTTGTTGCTGCTACCACCAGATGCAGCCGCTCTTTTTCTCTTGAGAATCTCACTCAAAGGCAATGGAGCTGCAAATGAATCTCCCGATCGCCTATGATGATGACGATCTTCCTCCAAGCTTTTCCGCTTCCCGAGAGATGGCTCTGTCTTACTTTCCTCTCTTCTGCTTTTGGTTTCTGCAATGCTTTTAGGAGCTGAAATAACTGATTTTCTTTCGTTTTCCATTTCTCTTCTTCTTACCCACGGAGCTCGGAGACCTCTTTCCTGATTACCACTATGGTTTTCCTCTATCCTACCCTTAATTCTATCTCGGAGTCTACCTTGAGATAAGTCGCTTCTGTCCCTTCCTCTCTCAGTTCTCCTATCAAAGTGAGCCTCGTCGCCATTGCTCCTCTCACGAAGCTTAATTCTACCTTGAAGACGGCTGCTGCTAATGGAGCTATCCCTCGGTGTATCCCTACGAGAATCTCTATATCCTCTTTCCAATGAAGAGTCGGGTGCAACATAGTCATGGCTTCCTACTGATCTCATACCATTAGCTTTCCTCTGCTTACCCAAGCGATTTCTCAGATCTGATGCCAGTATGTTCTCTGATCTTTCATCTTCCGCATAAACCCTTCTTTCCGAACGATCTCCTCTCTCAGAAGAAACTCGACGGTGACCCCATGGGTACCTTTCTTCCCTCTGATCAAAACGGTGATCACGGAATGTTTCTCCATGTCCATCAGCTATTGCACTGAAATCAGGGTCATACTCATTCACAGAGTTCCCTCCCTCCTGACTTCTCCGTCCATATTGATCTTCAGCATGATAATACTCAGAGTCTCTAGCGTCGTTATCCACAAGAACATCAAACCCAGGAGACGACTCTCTTAAGACGTCATCTGCGTCCTTACCATTGTGGAAACTATTATTATCATCAGATCCATATTTCTGAAGAAACAGTTCTCGATCAGTAAAAGAAGGAGCAACCTTTTTCTGCACAACAGGCTCATAACCGACATGTTTTGGAACATATCCCTCTACGACTCTAGTATCCCTAAGGCCAGCAGATGTGACTCTAGGTGCAACCGATACATCAACATGAGCTTTAACAGACTTTGAAAGATTAGCATCAGGCAATTTCTTCTCCCCAGTGTAATTTTCAACTGGCTTTTTGGAAAACTGAGTATCTGCAGCAGGCTTAGCTTCTAAGGGATGCTGTTTCTTAAAACCAGCAGGATTCGGTGTGTGCATAAACGAACACATATCACCTTTCACACAAATACCCTTTTGAAAGAAAACACATGGAACCGGCTGTTTAGCAACACCGGGATGAGCAGCTGCGTGTGGAGGCTGTACAGAACCCGCAGGAGTAGCACCTCCTTGATTTCCCAACAATCCTTCCAAAGGCTGTAAGAAAACAAAACCACAACATAAGCACTCGACAATAACATGTTAAAACTCAAGCAGAAAATCTGTATAGAGGAAAGAAAGTAAAACTTACAGGATGCCTAAATCCACATTTCGGATTCATGCAGTTTCCACTTAACCAATAGTAGCAATCCCTCGGGTTCATACGCGCATACTCACTGTGGCGATACTCACACTCAGCTCCCTGAAAAATAAGAAACCAAAAGTATAAACAAGACTGAAGAAACTTAGCACTAAGAACGAAGACTTATACATATTTAGCAACAATCTCATTCACAGAACATGAAAATTCTTTCACAAAGCGCAGTATCTTAATTAGAACGCATCAACGAAAGTTCGAAATCACCAGATCTAAATCTTGTAACCAATCATGCACATGGAAACACAAAGGAAACACGAAAATCGTGTGAAAGAAACTTGAGATC